TTATGGTGTCAGAGAGGGCTGGGCCCGGACGGGAGGTGCGGGATGGGAGGAAATGGTATAAGGAGAGATAAGAAAAATCCCAAGAGCGCAAGGAACTCTGGACAAACTTCCCACAGCCCAGCACAGCTGGAGGTACACATCCTCGGACCTGAGAATCCTCATAGGCCTCCGATTTCCCAAGAACCTCTTCTGTTCAGCCTTCCATCTTGCCCAGATGCAAACAGCCTCATTAAAAACACTTCAACTTCTCAGTGACTCCCTAAGTGATAGTGAACTTCCAGGCCTGAAATGCACTTAAACTGACCGCTACCAGACTGTGAGCTCCCCGCTGTCAAGCCCTGTCTTCCATCTTCTTAACTTCAGACATCATGGACCTGGGATGGAATTGTCCCCAGGTGTGTGAGTGAGTGAGTGAGTGAGTGAGTGAGTGAGCGAGCAGTCAGTTAGTGGACCAGTAACTGTCCGTCTATCGGTCAGTCAGTGTCCGAGTGAATGGAAAGTGAATGACTGACAGATAAATGGTCCAAAACCGAATCCCTTGTAACCAGATTCTAATCCAGCTGATACAGAAAGGAAGGGTCACCACATCCAACCTTAAAAAGTACCTAATCCTACCAGAAATAAAAGTATATTTGATCCTAAAAACAGGAGCTGGGGATGAGGGAAGGGAGGGCCTGAGCCTGCTTGGAAACCCCAGCAACAGGACTGGGGAGAGTCAAGCAAGCAGACAGAGTGTAGCAATCCCCCTGTGATGTGTTTAACTGTGCCACCCAGCATGCCACTGCGATTAAACACTAGATTTCAACAGAGAAACAGAGCTCAAAGCTGCGACACCCTCTCATCCCGTTGGCTCAGGGACACTTTCCACTTCCAGGTCTAATCTACTCGAGAATGGAAATTCTTAGGTGGCAAGTGAAAGAACACTTTCTGGAAGAAGCAAGTGACAGAACGAGGTGGTCTGTCCAGGGTGTGGAGGGGTCTTTGGTCTTGAGGTATGCTGTATATCTGCCTGGGCTTTGTCCTCTGGTGGGTCAGAGATACACGTGCTTGACACACTGGCCGTGGTCTCAATTTCTTACGCTATTGTCTGCCTACACTATTTCCCCACTACTCATATAGTGAGTACTTAAGTATCTACCATAGACTAGGTTCTAAAAAGACCCCGGAAGGTTGGGAGAAGATTTAAGATCTACACATCCCCCTCCTGGTCCCAAGACTGCACAGAAGGAGCAAGCTAAACTGTCCCCCCCTTATTCAGGCAGAACATGCCCCTCCTTCACCCACAGATGCCACCAAGAAGGGGACAACCATAGCACTTTCATCAATGGAGTAAATGGGGCACCTTTGTCCCATTGTCACCTTGACACCAAAGACTACCCCACTGGCCTATCCTGGGGACCTGGAGCTCCTGGTGTCTTATAGAGTCATAGCAGCAGACTTGTCATCTCTAACCTGATGCCAGAAGCGCAGGCTCTGTGGCTCAGGCATCTCCCTCTGACTAAAACACCATCGCTCTGAGACTTGGAAGTTAGGAGATAGAGACACAGAGACATCCAATGTCTTGAAAAGGGTCACTTGCTTCTAGGAGGCAGAGATAAGACGTCAAACTCATCAGGTGGCAGACCCATGGGACCAGCACATGGTGTTTCCTGAGCCACTGTGGGACTGGGGCATCCCATGTCACTACCTCCATGCTGCTGGACTTTACAGCAAAGTGGGCATGAAGTGAAGATACTAACACAAGAGTGTGGGGAAAGGAAAGGACTTGGGTTTTTGCAGAGACTCCAGCCCTCCCTAAGATACCAAAGATCACGGAGGAGGGGAGAGCAACACAAGAGCCACTGGGCATTATCTCAAACCTTCAGGGAGGCTGAGACAAAGGTTCACAGCCAGTCTGCTCAGGAAGACAATTGCCATGTGACCATTAAAGAGAGAAAACTGATTTAAAGCCAAGCCAGGTATAGTGGCTCACACCTGTAATCCGAGCATCCTGGAAGCTGAGGCAGATGTACTACCATGAATATGAGACCAGCTCAGGCTACCAGCAAGTTCCAAGAGAGAATGATGAGTGAGCCAGTCTTACCTGACAAGAGAAGGTGCAAGCCAGCAGCCAGTAGCCAGCAGCCAGCAGCCAGCAGCCAGCAGCCAGCAGCCAGCAGCCAGCAACCAGCAATTCCAGGCCACAGACTCCTGAGGAAGGACCTGTGAGGCCCTGTGTGTTCTGGTCTTGAAGCCCTCACTAAAACTCAACTCAGAATTCCATAAGCAAAATGGAAAACCCAGCATTTGTAAGGACTGTGGCCTCACCTGCTCCTGCCCCACCTAACCACCCCAGCACTGGAGGAGCTCTGCCTAGTAACCAAAGATGCTGGAGGCCCTGCATCTGGACCTGCCTCTGTCTGCTTGAGAAACTCCTGCATGGACCAACTCCTGCTCACCCCATCCCCTTTCTAGAAAGTTCTGCTAGCTCTAGCAATCTTCCCTCTGCCAAGAGAGCTCCTGCAATCCCCCCATTGTCTCAGAATCCTCTTGGGCCTCTTCCTTCAGATGGTTTCAATGGCCGTGTGTGCTTGTCCTTCGGTCTGGCTTTTCGTCTCTGACCTGCATCTGCTACCTAGCCATCAAAATAGCTGTCCAGCTTCCCTCACATCCACGCCAGATGCTCTATGAAACTTACCAGTTAATAATGAGTGTCTACTCTGTCAGGTACTTGCCAGGTTCTATTCAAACATTGTTAGTAATTATTAAGAACAGTAGCAGGCTGTCTGTTCATGGGCACAAGAATTCTGACTCTTGTGTGTAGCTGGGTCTCCAGCCCCCAAACAATGCTTTTCTGATTGAATAAAATAATTGTGCTACAGTGACAAATTATTGCACTTTGCTCAGGCCACATGCTGGAGGCCATGCATATTTGAGGCTCATTGGGAAGAAGACTTATTAAAAACTAATCTCTGTCTCTCTGTCTCTCTGCATGTGTCTGTCTCTGTCTCTCAGTGTCTCTCTGTCTCTCTGTCTCTGTCTCTGTCTCTCTGTCTCTCTCTGTCTTTCTCTCTCTCTCTCTCTCTCTCTCTTTCTCTCTCTCTCTCTTTCTCTCTTTCTGTCTCTCTCATACCCACATAAAATTGAGGCTCTTGATGGTTAAATGATTTGGGTACAGAGGTTGGATTCAGACCTTGGTGGCAGGATGCCATGCCCTGTGCTCCATCCCCTGTCAAGCTGCCTCTTCTAACAGCGGCATCACAGCAAGGGGAAACTTCCAAAGTACTTGCAGAGTTATGTGAGTGGGCAGGAAAGTGGGTGAAGAGCGCTAGGTTATGCAACCACGAAATAATAATGCAGAGAAGTCCCGGAAGCGCCACCAGAATGCTATTTATAGGCTCTGGAGTTCAGAGTTCCCAGGAAGGCCATCAAAGAGTCAGTGAGTCTTTTGCGGGCAGATCAGCAGCAGCAGCCGAAGGAGCCACCAGAGGCTGGCTATCCCTGAGGCATTGGAACAAAGCAGGCTGTTCCCTTCTGCCTTTGCAGGGAACCTTGTTAGTGTACTTGAACGCCATTTGACACGACTGAAGTCCAGCCCGCACATCTTCTCAGGAAGAATAGATCCCCACCAGAGCAGCTGAGACCCTTCAGACCACAAAGATCAACCAAGGGGACTATAAACAGCAATGAGATCCTGGGAGGGCCAGCTGAGGTCCTAGAGGGCTTGGGAAGCTGTGCACAGCAGGTGGACTGTTTGTGCCCACGTTTCAAAGGGGGAAGCTAGAACCAGGAGAAAGTGGAGAATTGCCCAGGATTGCTTAGCAGGTCAGCAGAGGAGCCAGACGGTCTCTATAAAATCCCCTCTTCCCTAACCATCACTTCCCATGCCTTAATGTTTAAAGGACAATTCAGGACAAGCAAAGGAAGTACGTTTTGTTGTTTTGTTTTGTTTAAGATGGCATCAACTCTGTGGAATTCTCATATAAACAGATTGCATTGCAGGTGGCGGCTACCTGGTTTGGGTAAATATTACTTAGAGAACTCACCTAAGTTCTAGTATCCATGGGCCCTCCCAACAGCAAGTGCCCAAGAGTCTGTGTCAGGCTGGAAGTCTGACTTGTACAGCCTCATAAACACACACACACACACACACACACACACACACACACACACACACACACTGCTATTAGGTAACTCTGGGAAGTTATCGTTTCATCTGACTGTTCTGGAAAGAGAAAGTGGGCACAGGTAGTCCTGGGCCAGAGGAGAAACTGAGTGAAATAGAACAACCAGGAATTCAGAAATAGAGGAACGTTTTTCCCTGGGCTTGTTGGTCATGCAAAAGTGACCTCACGACAGAGCCACCTGGAGCAAAAGGCCTCTGCAGGAAGCCAGGTGTCTACAGTCAGCTCCTCCCAAGAGGCCTGTCCGAATGCCACACTCTTGGCCTACTCGTTGCCCACTGTGTAGCTAGAGGGCAGAGATCTTGTAAACCCTGTACCACACCTCCATCCATGAAACAGGGATTCTTGCCTCTCTACCTGCTTCTACCCTCTCCAGGATCTACCTGCAGTTAAGAACCTGGCAGAAACACAAAGGTTGATTCTTAAATGACAGAACCATAAGGTGGGTCATCTGACACCTCTCTCCCGCCCCCAGGCCTTGCCCTGGAGCTATTAAACCTTGGCATGGGTAAGGTTCTCTACTCTAATTCCCAAAAGGTCAGCACCTATGTGGTTTATTACAAGGCACAGTGATTTCTAATGTAGCAGCTGGACTGAGGTTAGGTTAAAAGAAAGCCTACACCTCGTAGACTGCTTCTCCTATGCATGAAGCTGGTGACTAGCCTATTTTGCTGGACAGACATCCTGAAAATAGAGCCACAGGTGGGGCTACTTGGAAGCCAACATGGCTGTTTCCATAAAAACCTTTGATTGCACCTTAAGCTGCTGTATCTCGGCAGCCCCCCACCCCCCTGCCATGATGAAATGCCGCTCCGTAACCCCTTCTTGTCACCTTACCTGGCATTGTGGAGGCACCCAAGAGACGAGATCTTGTTCCCAGCCTGATAAAGGCATCAAACTGCCTGCACAGTCACAGGTGGGCAGATGTCTGCCAGTGGTAGGATTGATGGTTAGCTGCAGGTTCAGGGGTCAGAGTGGCTTAAGGCTACCTAGAGCGTCCCCTGAACGTCAGAACTAGCTGTGGGCAAGCCTAGCTCTTCCTGCTAACTGTGAGCAGCCCCAGGTCTTCTGGCTCACTCAGAGAGCAGTCTCCACCCCTCCCAGGGGTGCCCATGTCACCCTGTCACTGGCCTCAGCAACTTAACTATATAAGCTAAGAGCCTCAGAGGGTCTGTGTACCCATCACCTGGCAACAGCCGTATCTTTAGCGCCAAGTTTTCCCTCTGAGATCAAGGAAAGCCAGGGCCCTTCCCAGGAGATCCCAAAGCTGCCACAGAGAAGAACAAAGCCAGAGAAACAGCCTCACGGTGCTCTAGTGTGTCTTCCTCATCCCCACTCTGTTCTTCCAACTCTCTTGTTAATCTTTTCCCAGAGCAAAGCAATGTCTGTGGTGCAGGGAAGCATGCAGCTCCGCAGGGCGAAGGAGCTGGCCGGCTCTGTGCCTCCGGCCTCTTCATTATTGAGTAGTGGAGCACTGGTCTTCCCACTGTGAAATGATCAAGTGTTTCACCATCTCCCAAAGACAGTTCTCAGTGGCTTGACGGGACTTAGTATTCATAGAAATTGAGAGGGGCATCCCAGCTGGACAGCAAGTAACAAGTCACGCCCCCTTAGCTGTTTCTTTGTGGCTTTTCTGTAGAATTTAAAACAAAAGCTGCCTGGTCAGCTGTCTGGGGTCATTGTCTCTGAAGTCGAGGCTAAAAGGAACCATTTGATATTCGGAACTCAGCTAAGCCCAGGAGCTTCTCCAGGATTGAAAACAGGGAGGAAGGGAGGGAGGGAGCGAGGGGGGGAGGGTGGGCGGGAGGGAGGGAGGGAGGGAGGGAGGGAGGGAGGGAGGGAAGGAGGAGCCGCAGCTGAGAAGGGCAAACACCATAGAAGATGGAAGACTCCATGGTAACATTACCAGGGCCACTCCAGGACACCAAGGCCTGCCGCCTGTAGCAGCTCCCGCCACTATTCCTGAATGCTTTGGCAAAGTCAGGAAGCACATCCAGGTCTCTGTGCCTATCAACCATGGAAGGGCTGTGGAGCTCCTGAGGGGGGAATCTCTGCGTGTTGACTGCAGGCTAATCACAAGCAACAAGACCACACTGCAGAAGGGTAGAGACTCCAAAGGGTGTACAACCCCTAAGGATGCTTAACCACGCAGGCCCTTGAAACTGCTGAGAAATGCAAACAGCAGACCCCGAGTCCAGAAGCCCAGACTGGAGAGCTGGGTCTGCCCGTTACTTGCTTTGAAACCACAGAAGCTACTTTGTGAATAGGGACATTGGCTCTCAATTCTCTAAAGTGGGAATGTCTTGGGATTTCCTAGAGGTTAAATATAATAGCACCTTTGATAGGAAGATGTTGCAAGGGATAAATTAATATCCAGCCTTCACAGGTGGTCTGGATTAATCTGATCTCTTGACAGTGAGTGGCTGGAAAACAGCAGGAAGATTTCTGAGCTAACCAAGCTCTTGTCAACAAGCATCTACTCCTTCTACGCCATCATGTTCCCTGCTGGGCACTAAGTGACAGGAATTCTCAATCTTCCATTGTTCTCCAGCTGGCAAAAGCTTTGTTCCAGATGAGCCCTAAGCTGGACATGGGCTGAATCAGACCCACGAGTCAGGGTTCTGTACAGTCTGAGTCACGAGAGCAGGTGGTCTGGCCCAGTCAGCAGCTCTGACAGAACCGTGAAGACTGGAACCTTCACTTGGGCTATACAAGGACTGGACCATAGTAACTGTGACCAGCTCAAGAGGTTAAACTCAAACTGAGGATAGTCAAAGATACCATTAGCTAGTTAGTTAGGTGAAGAACACAGTAAGCTCCCATAAGTCTACACAGAAACTAGGGCTTAGAGCATCCTCCCTATACTCATGAGATTCCTCCTCACCTCCTACCTGCGGAGGTAGGAGGGCACGTCTCTTTTGCTTCTTCTCCTTTTTTAAAAAAAAAAATTCCTTTATATATATATATATATATATATATATATATAATTTAATTTTTTTTCAAATTGTAATTTATACTCATTCACACAGGGGTTATAAACACAAAAAGGCAGGCAGGATGTGGGGAAGGGGATGACACTGGAGCATGGGTGTTCAGGGGGAATACAGATACTTTTCAGAACAGGGTATCAGCTGGGTGAGGGTTCAGGGGATCTTTTGCTTCTTAATTTAACAAAAATTGACTGCACCTGTTTACTATCCGAGGCCTCAAGTTCAATGCACTCGGCTGATGTAAGCCCCACCCTCCCCCGAGTCCCGTGTCTATCTTTCTCTTGCTTCTCCACGAAAAGGATTCTGAGTTACAGGGAACCTGTTGGGACTTTACCCTTGTTACTCAACTGCTAGTGGTCCGTTTCTTTGGAGATAACTTGTAGTTTGTTTATTTTTACTTCTGCGTAATATTTTATTGTATTTACAGGCAGCGTCTTAAAAGCTGGCCCAAGACCAAGTCTTAAAACTGATTCAACACCGTTTACTCAATATTCACTCTATCTTATGCATAGAAAGAGTTTAGCTTCGGTGAATAACGGCACAGTCACGGTTCCGAGACTGTGGAACTCTGTTTTAACTTGACTCACCGTTTCCTGCCTTCTGTTTGCAAGTGAGGCCACTAGTCTGTACAGTACAACCTGGACTGCGCATCCAGCAGCGGGAAACATTGCCTGACGTGAGGTATCAGGCCACTTCAGCTCAAATGAGCAGCCAAAATGCAGAAAGGTGTAGACTGCACTGTTGTTGTTGCTGCTGCTGCTGTTGTTTCTTCTGTGTCTCGGCTTCTAGTATAATCCTTCGCCCATCATGGCATTCACAGTCAATGGCTAGTCAATTTGTAAAAAAAAAAAAAAAAAAAAAAAAATCAAAAGAAATTCATCCTACCTGCTCCAACTAACAGAGGCATGTACACACAGGTAGAGTCAATAAAAAAGAATGCACCAATGGGAAGGGCCCACTGAACAAATGCTCACAGTATCCAAAACCTCTAGCCTTCCACATTTCAGCAGACACACTAGCCTGCTTAACCGACGTCCGAGGGCACAGGCCCACTGACAAAGCCTACTGCATTAATGCTCCAAGGGCACACAGAATCATCTCACTCTCTAACGCCTCGGCCTCCCCTCCAGCCCTGCCTACTTCTCTACATCATCTCCATCCCCCACACTCACTCCTGAGTGCTGGTCCCTATCTGTCATTCAAGTCATAGCTCAGATGTGACCTCTCTAACTGTTCTCACCCTTTTCTTTAACCCTGTCTTCATCCAGACACATTCTCTTCTTAACCCCACTTTCTTCTGCAGGTTCCCACAAAGCTTGTGGGTTTTTCTGGCTTATGTCTTTGTAGTCACCACCCCCCAGGCCCTCCAAGGGATGTAGCCCTCGGTTGTCTTGTTTGGGCACCTCTCCCTGTCTGCTGGAATGAATGCTTTTGATCTCTGATATCTGCTTCTTCGTGGCTCAGGGCCTGGCACAAGTGTGACTATTTCTCATTCAATTGTTTACTTTAGCCACTGTTTAATGCTAATGACTGCGGTTACCACACACACTTGGTTTCAGTGCTTTGTAATCTGGAGCTGACTAAGTTAAATGGAAAGACTTTGCCTATTGTGTGTAAATTGCTGCTGGTATCCTTATCTCCTCACTAGGTGTCTGTAGGGCCAGGTGCTCTGATGTGTTCTCAACTTCATCCTGAAAGCTATCCCTTCCAACCAGCTCTGTGCTGACCAAGGAGAGCCTGGGAGTCAGCGGAGCCCAGAGCTGAGTTCAGTTGTTTGCAGGCCCGAGCCTCATGCTTAGCGTTAAGAGTACAAAGGCAAGAAGAGAGAGTGCAATTATTATTTGCCAATTTAAAATAAAATCCTAATTTTAAAAAAAAGGAACAGAAAAAGACAGATAAACAGAGAATATCCAAACAGAGGAAGGCTATGGAAGCATGAGGGATGGGCAGGCAGAAAATGGTGGCCTAGTGTGACCCTGGTGCTTCCCACCAGAAGGCTCATTTCATTTCTTGCTCAAAGGTACACCATCAGTAGGACGCAGAGCCTGTATTCCTACTCAGTCCTTGTGGACTAATGCACCAGCCAGCCAAGACCTAATGACATCAAAGGGCAAAGCCTGGCACCCCCTCCAGCAGATTGCAGTCTTGAATATGGAAGGAGAGGAAGGCAGGAGGGAGCTCCCTGACCATCACTGAACCCCTATGTTTAACCTTGACAGCAGACAGCCCCCAGGTATTCCCTTGTAACCAATTTAGGATTTCCACACACCCAGAGCTTAGAAGAAGTCTTTTCTCTCCCATATGGGACCAGAAAAACCTCCAGTAGAATGTGTATAGGATTCTGCTGCTTTCTCCCCTTGGCTCTGGTATCTGTGGCCTCAGTATAGTACTGGCAAACCAGTCCCGATGTAGAGGCTTAACAGACAGAACTCAGGAACTCCCCATCCTCTACCAGACCTGAAATGGAGGAAGACTCTGAGCTGCTCAAGGGATTAAAGGGAGTTCAGAGAATGAGAACCTGGACATCACCCTCTCTTCGACCCTTGCCTGCAGAAAAAGGAGTAAATGCACTTTGCATGTGAGCCTCTGACTAAGTAGCCCCCATGTTTGGTCCTCTGTGGTTGTGTGTACACGGAGCACACATGGGATGGGGTGAGCAAACGCAGGCAATGCCTGTGCATGTGTTTGTTTGTGCTCGTGTGTCACTGCAGAGCTAGGACCACACTTTCAGAAACGCCCACTGTCTTAGTAGACTTTTGTTTGGGCTTGCCTGCTTTATTGGGTATAATCCACATGCATAAAATGGCTCCTACCTAAAATACACCTCACAGTGAAGATCTAACACAGAGACAACACCCACAGCAAGGTCTAGAAGTTTCTCAGTATTCCAGAACAATCCATTGTGCCTTTCTTATAACCACCCCACTTCCCGGGCAGTAACGCTGTTCTGATCGATAGCACCCTAACTTTTACCTTCTGGCTCTGTGTCCATGTGTTGATGTCATTTCACAGCATGTGCTTTTCCCTGCTTAGTTCTTTCATCATGACGTCATGAAGTTTATCCCCGTCACCGCCTTCAACACTGGCCTTGGATTGGTTCCTGCTGTGTTCTTGTGAGAAAGCATTTGACAGAGGTGCTCTCAAGTAGGAAGGATTGATCTGACTCAGAGATGGAAGCAGAGGGCTTAGCCGATAGATACTTGGCCACATGTGCTACGTGCAAGAGGGGGTGGGTAGTGGAGACTGTCTCACTTCTTAGGACGCTAGAACAGGAAAAAGAGACAGAAAGTTCAGGGCAAGATACACTTTCTAGGGTCTTGCCTCCAGAATCGAACTCCTTTCATGAGGCCACACTCTCTAACTCTCACCATTTCCCCATAATGCCATTGTGTTTGTGAATCCATCAGTGAATTAACCCATCAGACCAATGAGCTCATCAATTCTGGAGATGTCAACACAGACATATCCAGAGATGTGATTCACCATGTCCGAGGCATTTCTGTGTATGTGTGTGCAGGTGTTTGTGTGTACGTGCACATGTGTGTTCATGTGTGTATCATGTGTATGTATGTGGAAGCCAGGGGTTGATGGTTAAGTGTCTCGCTTGGTTACTCTCCACTTCATTTTTGAGATAGGATCTTTGACTGAAACTGGAGCTCACTAATTTTCTAGACTAGATGGCAGCAAGTCTCGGAGGATTCTCCTGTCTCCACCTCCTCAGAGCCAGGATTACAGGGGTGTACCACTACACACAGTCTTATATGTGGACTCTAGCAATCTACACTTGGGTCTTCATGCTTATTAACTTAAAGCCGTTAACCAACTGAGCCATCTCCACAGCCCTTCATAGACATTTCTGAGTCTAGTCAAGCTAGCAACCTAGAGTAATGGGGGGGGGGGTTAGAGACGTAGTTCAGTGGGTAAGAGCTCTTCTTAACCACTGATCTCATGCCCTTTTCTGGCCTCCGTAGGTACCAGGCACAGAGGTGGCACACAGACATACATGTGGGCAAAATTCCCATACACCGAAAAATATTTTTAGATAAAAAGGGTAATTGTAAGAAGTTTGTTTCTCTCTATGGCTGAAATTCTATTCTCTAGATAATCCACAATTTATTTAGCTACTCAACCATTAGGGGTTTTCCAATGTTTAGCTATTACAAACAATGCTACTGTGAAAACTCAAGGTTCTTGCTAGATAAGCACTTCTTTCTTGTGACGACATCCCACAGTAGATCTGCTGAGCCATCAAATTATAAACTACTATCAAAGCATTTAATTGAAGCACTGCTATAGTTTCTATCCCACTAGCAAGCACAGATATCCCAGTTGCTCCCTGTTCTGTGTTCTCACCAACACTTAATATTGTCAGTGTTTTTAACTTTAGCCATTCTAATGTTTGGAGAAAGAGAGAGAGAGAGAGAGAGAGAGAGAGAGAGAGAGAGAGAGAGAGAGAGAGAG